GTTTTTCAGTCTCTCTCCTGGATTCCTGGACTCCTTTTGCCAGAAAGTCCTGCTCACCACTCTCCTGACTTACCTGGGCTATATATACACAAATCCATATGTTCTGCTATTCATGTGCTATGGTACAGGCTGAGTTGTTTAAAAGTTAGGGAGGAAAAAAGCCTAGGTCTGGCAACTGGCCACTGCTATGAATACATAGGCAGACTTTAGGAACTATTTTCTGCTTTCTCAGGTGAGCAGACCTGTAATAAAAAGGGATGCAGGATGGAAAGGGGACCCATATATAAGAGAGTGTTCATTTTTTTCATGCACATAGATACATCTCAATTTAGATATAGCATTTAGGAAAGCCAAATCTGTCTCCTGTGCTCCATGACCAAGAGTGGAGGGAGGGAAGAAAGTGGCCAGTAGATGTTCAACTGCAGGTCCCATAATCCCTCACATGTGCTAGCTAGTATGGATAGCTGGTGTGGTTCAACAACATATGGAAGGCCACACATTTTTCCTCCCAAATTCTATGCACTCTTATAAAGTCGACCATCCGTATCCATGGATTCTTCATCCAGGGATTCAACTATCCACTACTTTAAAATATTCATAAAATATAAATTCCAAAATGCAAACCCTGATTTTTGCATTTTATATAAAGGACACCATTTTACTAGTGTGGTATAGTGGTTTGAGTGTCAGACTATGACTCTGGAGAGCAGGTTCAAATCCTGGCTCAGCCATGAAAACGCACTACATGACTTTGGGTAAGTCATGCTCTCTCATTCTCGGAGGATGGCAATGGCAAGCCTCCTCTGAAGAAACTTACCAAGAAAATTCCATTATAGGCTTGCTTTAGGGTTACCATAAGTCAGAAATGACTTGAAGGCACAACAACAACAACATTTTACAATGCCATTGTATTTAGTGGGACTTGAACATCCACGGATTTCTCAAGGGGTCCTGGAACCAAACCCCAGTGGATACCAAGGACCCACTGTATTTACAAATACCTCCATACTGAACAGATGCCACTCCTGTTTATACTGCTACAGTGCAACAGTACTTTATGCTCCTCCATCCTATCCCACAACTCTATTGCCTTCACTTCATCAGTACTGAATGGACCTGCTTGCTTTGCTGTTCCAGAAGCCAGCCAACCAGCCAGCCAGGATTTCAAGTGATTCAGTTACCTTTCATATCCGACTAACTGCAAGTCAGGTAGTGTGCTTAAGAATGGCTCAGAAATCTTTAGTGGGCAAAGAGAACTGGCCACATTGCCAAGGGGCAGGAGGAGCTGTGTTAAATCTTTTGCAGGAAAATCAACAAAGAGCCTTGTAAAAATTCACAAGTTTTACTTGGCACAAATTTGTGTGGACTGCATCCCACTTTATCAGAAGCATAAGCTTTTGTGAGCTCTGGCTGCATTTATCATATGCAGCTCATGAAATCAAAAGTCCATCAAAGCTTATGTCTGAAGCATTGGGCTGCTGCCACAGTGCGGAATTAATGCAGTTTAACTGCAATGGCTCCATCCAAAGAATCCTGGAATTTCAAGTTGGTTGTGGCACCAGAGCTCTCTGACAGAGAAGGCTAAATATCCCACCAAACTACAAATCTCAGAATTCCATGGCACTGTGTCATGGCAGTTAAAGTAATTCCAAACTGCACTAATTCTGCAGTGCAGATGCAGCTTCGGTAGTCTTTCAGATGCCACAAGACTCTTCATTATGTTAGTCAGTTTGGCTTGTTGAAGTGGGTAATGAGTGTTTACTCATAACCTGCTTATTATCTAGGGTACCTAATGGTCTTTATATTATTCTAGGCATAGCCCAAATCATTATTCTGCCCAGAGCAGCAAATAGCACTCTTGCATCAGAAGCCAGTGAAACTGTAGTGATGGCTGGGGCAGAAAACTCCACAGGTATCTCTCTTTTACTGATAATAAATAACAATTTGCTGCCCTTTATCAGCCACTGGAGAGACCTAGTGTGGCGTAGTGGTTTGCATGTTGGACTAGGACTTTGGAGACCAGTGTTTAATTCCTCGCTCAGCCATATCACACTCTCTCAGCCTCAGGAGAAGGCAATGGCAAACCTCCTCTGAACCGATCTTGCCAGGAAAACCCCATGATAGGGTCATAAGTCAGAAATGACTTGAGGGCACACAACAACAACAAACAACAATATGCTGTCAAGTCAAATGGCTTGAAGGCACAGAATACACACACACACACATAATGAGCCCCTGGAGACAGCTGCTTCATTCAAAGGGATCATGTAGTAGGTGTATTTGAGAGTCTGGTAAAAGCTGCTGACAATCATAAGTACCAGACTCTGCTAAATCATATAGACAGATAATCTTCCTGACACAAGGAAGCATCCCATATTCTGAATGGGGCAGCCAATATTAGCCAGATAGAAGTTGCTGTTGTTGATGATGATATGTGTCTTCAAGTCAGCGCTGACTTACTGCAACTGTATCCTGGGATTTTTGTGGCAAGATTTATTTGCAGGGTTTCCATTGTCTTCCACTAAGGTCACCCAGGGGTTTCCATAGGTGGGGATTTCAACACATGGTCTCCCAGGATTGTAGAAACCACCATCCCACACTGCCTCACATGAAAAATAAGCATTTACTACAAGTAATTTTTTTCAGTATCACCATGAAGTGGTAGAAACACAAAGTAAATAAGGAAAATGTTAACACACATTTTAAACTTTCCTATTGTACAAAAGTGAAAAGTAAACTTTCTTCTGTGAGATACTCACTAGGGTCATGGATATAACAATAGTGTGACAATCCTATAACCATTGTTAACTATACATACTACAGTGGGCCCAGCACATTTGCTGGGGTAGGGATGCAGTGGCTCAAGTGGTTAAGATGCTGACTGTTAACTGCAAGATTGGCAGGCTGGCAGTTCGAGACCCAGGTGCTGCAGGATGAGGTGAGCTCCTGTCACTAGTCTCAGCTTCTGCCAACCTAGCAGTTCGAAACCATGCAAATGCAAGTAGATAAATAGGTACCACTTCAGTGGGAAGGTAAACAGCATTCTGTGCAGTCATGCTGGCCACATGATCACAGAGTAGTCTCTGACAACGCTGGCTCTTCGGCTTAGTAACAGATGAGCACTGCCCCCTACGGTCGGACACAACTTCACAACCTTGTCAACAGGGAATATCTTTACCTTTACCTAGGGCCACAGGACCCCCGTGAAAGTGGGAAAAACACAAATAAAAAACTTTTTTTTTGTTTACTTAGAGAACACCTCCCTAGGAATCTCATTCCCACTTACGTTTAATCTAATTTGCAAATTGTGTTGACACTGGGTCACGTATTTGATCGAGGCCGATATGTTCCCATTATGGATGCGAATTATGTCCTAATTCCATGTCATTCCCACTAGTGACATGGAATAAGCTGCACCCCAGCTTAACACCACCACCCAATGCTCCCCGCTTGCCTCCCAGACCTTCCATCTGCCCTGGCCCCGACACAGGACCCCAATCCATGAGGGGGGCCTTGGACCACCACCACTGTCACCTCCAGGGCAGCCTCTTCTGCGCCTGGCTCCAATGCCAGCAGGAGCAGGAGCAGCAGCAGCAGCAGCAGCATGGTCTCCAGCTTGGCCCCTGGCCCTGCCCTTAGCTGTCTAAACCGGGGAGCCCAGCCGCCCCTCTGAGAATCCTGGCGGCGAAGGCCATGGCAAAGGCAAGAGCGCTTCCAGGCCCTCCTCTACCTCTTCCTCTTTGTCATCCCCATCTCTGCTGTGGTCCCCTCCACTGGCAAAGAGGGGGCCATCTTGGCCCTCTGAAAGTCCCCCCTCTGCTCCCCCTTTTCCCAGATTGGTGGGGGTTGTTGGTGGGACCCTCCAGGAGGTGAGCAAGAGACCCTCTCGGCCCAGACAACGAAGGCATGGGAGCACCACTGGAGAGGAGCCACCTGACCCCCTCAGATGTTGCCCCGCAGCTGTGCCCCCGAGACTGGCATTTCCCAAATAGGCCAAAGGGGGAGCTTCCTTTCCCTCCCCCCTCTAATCCCCGGTCCTCTCTCTTTTTCCACCACCCCAGAGAAATAAGTGAGAGCCGGTGCAGCCCCCAGAGCACTCAAGCAGGGCTGAGGAAAGCTATTGAGAGATGGTGCAGCCCCCCGATGCGGATCAGTCCTGTCTTTCACACTTGCTGAACATGCTTCAGAATTGGATCTTTTCAAAAGAACCACCAAAAAAACTAGTAAAGCCTAAAAAAAGTGGTTCTTTTGCATTTGTCTTGCTTTAATGTGACTCTGACTGAACGCAGTTGGCTCTGAAACGGTTCCGTGTGGATGACGCACATATAACCTGATCAGCAAATCAGTGTATATCATAGTGTGAATGAGCCCTAGGGCTTCTCTGTGGTTAACATACACTGGAAGCTGACCACAGAATTGTCCTGGAGGACCTACAAATGCTAGAGATGTGTTCCCTCTAGGAATCTCTACATCTTGCAGCATGGAAATTGACTATAGAGCTGTGCTGGAGGATCTAGAAATTCCTAGAGAGAACATATTAATCAACTCTGTGAATAATCAAATCTGTAAAAGTCAAAGCCGTAAATGTGGAGGGCCGACTGTATTACCACAACAATACTACGACATATAGACACACGTGTGCTTATATTTAAAGAAATAAGACTAGGAAATTTTGTACAGAGGAGGCAGGGACTTGTCTTACTGGTCAGAAGGAAGCAGTACTCCTCCCTCCCAGTTAAGAATGTTTTTGCATTGAATTAAATTTATTTATATTAGGATGAAAGTGGCATTTTATGGTTCAAGCAGGGCTGAAGGCTCACCTCAAAATTATGGTATGGTCCTGAGCTGGCAACGTTTTCTACTCCTCCAATGTCCCTTTGAGATCCCCACCTGTACTTCAAGTCATGAAACAATTGAGTTTGCTTTTTTAGAAGTTTGACAAGTATTTGAAGCAAAAGAATAAATTAGCATACTTGCATTATCATAGACATGTGCAATGTTTTATATTGTTGTTGTGTGCCCCCAAGTATCTTTTAACTTATGATGACCCAAGAGGGAGTTTTCTTGTTAAGTTTCTTCAGAGAACGTTTTATTTTGTCATGTCCTACATTTTATTGAATGTCCTCCATTTTGTGGTGCCTTGTCCTCCTTTGCGGTTGTTAGGACATCTGGTCATCCTGCTTCTCCAGTCTTTTTTGGAGTTCAGCTCCCAGAATCCCTGACTATTGGCCTAGATGGCTGAGGCTTCTGGGAGTTGAAATCTACAAAAAACCTGGAGGAGCAGGGTCACCAGAGCTTCTAGTTGCAAAGAAGGACAAGGCATCTCCAAATAGAGGTCATTCAAGAAAAAATGTAGGACATGACAAAATAAAAACTAAAATCACCAATATAAATGTAAATTCATGCTTAGTAGTGCTCAGAATGAAGGACATTTTGAAATTCCTCCTGGAGAGAAGGTTTAAATGGAGGACATGTCTTGGAAAAGGAGGATGTCTGGTCACCCTGCTACTGCCATCGTCTGAGGCTGAGAGAATGTTACTTGCCTAAGGTCATCAAGTGGGGTTTTATGGTCAAGTGGGAACTCAAACCCTGATCTCCAGAGTCAAAGTCCAGCACTTCAAACCACTACACTACCTGGCTCTGGCGTACAAACTGTACATAGGGGGACCAGATGTCCTAACCCCAAAGGAGGACAAGGCCCCACAAAATGTAGGAATTTGAGAAAAACAT